TGATACAATTTGATGAACTTGACCTACACCTAGGGATGCAGTAGCTCAAAAGAGGGAACAAATCTTTACAGCAAGGATCATTCCCACCCCCTTCATACACAAGAGTAGACAGGGATGGGCAACTTGGACATTGGCTACCCAAACTGGGGGGCTAGAAAGGCCAGAAGTGACTGGTTTACAAGCTTTCAAGAGGGAGCCTAGATCCAGAGGGTGTGGAGGAAGGTAGACTCTCCACTGAGTAGCATCCAATCTGTCTGGGCGGGGCTGATGAATGGAGATGCAGATAGGTCTTTTGTGATACAATAGTGAATAATCATTATCAGGACTGATTGTGAGGGTTGGAAATGTAAAGGTAGACGTTTTATAGCAAAAGGAGGGGAGTGATTGACTTTGCAGTCTAGGAGTGAAGGTCCCTGGGACCATCAAGGGAGAAGAGTGGAGAGCGGGACCCTACCCAGAGAAGCAGTGACACCAGAGATGGAGGCAGAGACGATGACATGGAGAGACGGAGCGGCTGGGGACTTCAGACCCAGAGAGGGAGAGGAGCTGTGTGCTGACGACCCGGGGACAGGCTTGCAGGGTATATATATATACCCTTTGGTTGTTTGATGATGCATGGAGGGGATTGTAACCATGGCAATGAAATGATATATGATAGGATGAATATAAAGCTAATGTTCTCTCATGTAAACTATCACATAATTCACAATAAAACACTAAAAAAAACACCAATGACCCCAGCGTCACCACCCAGGAGGGGGAGGGGACACAGGGATGCGGCAAGAATCTGGCCCCCTTTCTGCATGGTTCAGGGCCAGCACAGCTGGTGAGGACCTCGGATGGTTGGCAGTCCCCGACCACCTCCTTGTACCAGAAGAGGCCTTTCCTCCCCCTTCCTTCTGTAAACAAGATATGCATTTAAAATTCTCCTCTTAAAGATTCAGCCGATCTTCAGTGATGCCAAGCCCCATCAGGGACTATGGTCCAAGCTGCCACACCCCAGCCTGGCTGGCCAAGGCAGAGAGAAAACCAGTGCCTTGGCCACACAGACAGGGACCGTCCCACGCGCGAGCCCACAGCCTCGCTCCTTTTCTTAGCAACTCGGCCTCATCGAACAGAAGCGTTCCACGGTTGCCTTGGAAACCCAGAGGGTTTAAGACTTTAACAAAGTGCATGGCTTAAATCACTTGTTTGATTCTAAAAACGCCTTCTGCTTGATGCTACATGTCAACACTGAACTCGCCAACTCAGAAGCAGCTATTTCTTCATAGGTTAACAAACCCTCTGAAGACAAAGGTGATGCTCAAGCCATGAGTCTCCAGCATCGTGACCATCAGTGACATAAAGGACTCGTGCGTGCAGTAAGTTGTCCCTTGAAGGTGAGAGAAGGTGCCGCTCCCTAGCAACAGCCCCCTCGTCCCCCTCTGTGCTCGTTGGAACGTTCCACAAAATCGAACAGCTCATCCCTAAGTCATTCAGCCGCTTTACTGCTGCTTTTTAGCTTTTAATCAGAGGAGGTGAAAGACCATCTTTGACCTGACACCCATGCAGCTCCCCTTGTGGTTTACACTTGTAAACCTCCTCTCACAGACACACCTATGCATCTCCCCTCATGGACACCTGTGTGCCTCCCCTTACAGATGTGAGCTATGTGACCCAGCACACAGATCTCTGTGCACGCCCCGCTGTGGGCACAGCCATGCCCCTCTTGTCATAGGCACCTGTGTGAGGACAGGTACGGGCACCCCCACTTGCTTCGAGGATGATGAGGACAGCCGGTGCCCCACATCCGCCATAACTGGTATTCACATGTTCAGCACCAGTTTCAGCAAGTATCTATTCTTTCCAGTCTGGGAGGCAGAGAAGTGTCCTTCCAAGGGTGTGAGGATGACCACAGGCAGAGCCAGAGAATCCCACTGAAACTGGACCAGTGGGCTGTGTGGGGCCCAGGGGAGCCACATGAAGGCCCCCCCCCACCAGGTGCAGTGGCTCCAAGAAAAAAACACAGCATCTTTTAGGCAGGATCTCTAGAACCAACATTCACTGGTAAACAGATGACGCAGGAAACCCAGGGCTGTGGGGCCCATGGCCGAGCTTCCAGATCAGTTCCAGCCGGGACACACCGGGAGTCACATTTGCATGACCACTAACTCCACACTGACCACAGAGACATGGAGAGGCAGAAACTGGGGCCAAAAACCCAGGTGCCAGGACCACACACGGTAATGGACCCTCCTCCCTGCCTTCTGTCACCTCTTCCATACTTCCTAATTTTAGCTTTAAATTTTTAAACATTTTTAAATGATCAAACTCAGTACTTATGGGAGGTTTTCAAATGCAAAGCAAATCCTGTGTCACACCTGCCAGCCCACGCTGCCCCCATACCTCAGTCTCCCTCACCCTGGCCCCCATCCTCCTCACTTCTTTCCCCATCCCTCTTCCCCACCGCAGACCCTCACACCCCACCCACAGCCTGCCACCTCAGCCCCTCACCCTCCACAAGGCTGTGAAAGCTCTTTCCGAGTCTCTCACTCTCCTCTCCAGATCCTCAGCTTTGGGGAGGCCCCACCTGGTAACCGGATCAGCCTTGGAAGGCGTATTCTGCACGCCACGCCCTCCGGTGGAAGGGGTGATCCAAGAGGTTCCGGGGGTAAGCCCACTCGGGTTGCTCCACTCACAAAGCGAGCAGCTGAGAGGCCACCACCCTACGGACCTGGGCCAGCAGTACCACCCCCAACAGCATCCACCACCCACGAAGCTTACTTGTGTCACGGCTGCTGAATGGCCAGCCTGAGGTGGGCAAGAAGGAGGGCACCGGCGAGCCAGCCCGGCTGTCGGCCTCCACCTGCTGCGTGATGTGGCGGACGGTCTCCTTGTTCTTCCGGTTCTTCCTGCGACCCGTGGGCTGCCAGCTGTCCCCACTGCCCTGCTCTGAGAAGGTGCCCTGCAGTGCCCCATCCTTGCCCAAGGGTAGCTCAGTGCCTTCGTAATGAGACGGTGACACCTGCTCCTCCTTGACCCGCAGAGGCATGTAGCCCATGTCCCCTGGCCACAGCGGTGGGGCAGACATGTCATCCTGACCGTCGGCCCTGGGCTCTGGGTCCTCTTTGCCATAGCTGCTCCCACCTTCATGGCAGCTGGCAATGGCTGAGTCCCCGGAGGAGTTGGCGGGACTCGTGCGCCGAGCCAACCACGGGGAGATGCTCCGGCCAGCCATTACGGCGGAAATGAGAGCGTCGGCACTGCTGTTGGAGGGGGCGCTCATCTCGAAGTCGGTGAGCTCGTCAGAGGCATCGGCCTTGATGCTGATGTCCAGGGCGGCCTTGATGAAGTCATGGCATGCCTGCACAATGTCTGTCATCTGCAGGAAGCTGGCAGCAGACATGACCTCGATGACGTTCCTGCTGGTCAGTGCCAAGTGGGCCGAGTACATGAAATCGATGATGGCCTTGAAGCCTTGGGCTGTGACGATGTCCAGGTGGGTGACTGTGGCCTGGTCAGATGTTTTCTGAACCTGGCAGTAGAGTGTCTTGAAGTAGCGGCTGCTCCCAAGCAGCACATTCTTGTGTGCCTTGAAGACCTTGCCTTCGACGACAACGCACACGTCACAAAGCACGCCGTGATGCCTTTGCTCGTTGAGTTCACGAAGCAGATGCCGGTAGTGGGACGCGATCTCCATGTCTTCCTTCCGGTTATTCATGGGGCTGCTGGACGCCTCCGCTTCTACAGGTTCTGTGGGGCGAAAACCAGAGAGTTACCAGCGGTGCTGCCTGCAGTGCGCCAACTGGTGGCCAGGAGATCTGCTGAGTGGGCGGCTGGCGTCAGCCATCTCCACAGCCACCAGTGGTGGGGGTCCGTACCTCCTGGACCCCAGCTATACAACAGGAAATACCTGTTCACCCTCTACAACAGGGGCAGAAGGGAGACTGACGAAGAATGCATGGCAGCAAATAACAGATGGCATGAAGGCAGATTCCTGAGTGTGGGGTGTTCCACAAAGTACCTGGTTTCCAGTCAGTCCCCCTGAAATCATGAGAACACCCGTCAACAGTCCGACTTTCCTGTCCAAACTGAAAGCTGAGGTGAAAATAGCCCTTAGAAAAGAACAACTCCCCACACACCCCAGACAGTACACACTCATAGCCTCTAAAATTTCCCCAAAATCTGAGCTGGAAACACTTCCTCAGGGAGCACGTCTCCCCAAAAACCTGTGGGACCCAGGAAGCCAGACCAACTCCTGGAGAAGGTTCCACGTCCACAGAGCATCAGGTGCCAGTAGTGGGCGCTGTTTTAGAACACTCTGGAGTCCTTTCCACTGTCGCCCACCCCCTGGTCCTACTGGACTCTCCCCAACCATCTCAGCCTCTGCCTCTCATTGTTGTCCCATGAAGACAAGTTGGTGAAGCACAGTATTGCCCTAGTCATTGTTCTATGCTTCCACCAGACAGGTCATAGAACACACAGGAAGGCCAAAACTGATTCAGTAGGCATGACAGAGGTGTCCTCCATGAAGACATCCTAAGCTGCTACTTTCGGCCACCTTGAAGAAAGGGGACTCGATTTCTCTCACTTAAAACACATCTTTCTTTATTCTGTTTTCTTACAACACACAACCAGTCCTTTGTCAGTACAAAGTATTTGCTGGCAAACAGTCCCTGTGAGGAAGTGGTCATCTATCCAAGTACTGGTGAAGGCCCAGTACCATGAGTAGTGGCCAACACTCCCAGCAGCCTGTCGCCAGGGCTGGTCCCCACTACCTGCAGAGGCAGCAAGCTCCCAGCCTCTCTGGAGACCTGCTGACCCAGCCTTCCCTATGTCCTTTCTGATGGGGCCATGGCCACCACTGCAAGGCAACCCACCTGAGGGTCTGAGACCCTAGGGCCACAGACCCTGGCGTGGTGACCTTCTAGCCCAGGAGAGGAGGTGAGGACACATCCCTTGCTCCAGACCCGGTGGCTGCAGGTGTGTTCTGCACCTAGTGAGAGTAATTTCCACCCAGGTGGTGGAGGGGCTGTGGGCACAGACCTCCATGACCAAAACCCCCAAAGCCAGTGGGTCCAGAGTGTTGAAGTCAGTGGGTTGGGCAACTTTACTCGTCTTAGGCAACTGTAAGCAGAAATGTAATCAGAACCTGAGGGAGGGGCTGAAGTGTATTTTAACATGAGGAAAATGAGATTTAAGCACAAAGCATCAGCTTACTATCCAAGGCTATGAGCGACTGACAGTCTGAGGGGACACATCCAAAACTGCAGGTCACGGTTCATATGAGGAAGCTGTATATCTTGCTATTTGATTCCTTAGGGAACAAGTGTCCTGGTGTGGTACTGTGGGATAAAGTAAGGTCGGTTTCAACCACAGCATTTCTAACTCATCAGATGCTCCTTGGAGACTCTACGGAAGATAGCTATGACTTGGACCTGACTTGACAACACTTAACAGCAACAGTATGAAACAAGAGTGCCCTGGGAGCATAGTAACTGCAAGGTTAGCAGTTCAAACCCATGAGCTGCTCTGAGAGAGAAAGATGAGGCGATCTGCTCCCGTACGATTTACAGTCTTGGAAACCCTAACGCACAATTTGCTCTGTCCTACAGAGTTAGTTTGAGTTGTAACTGACTTGACAGTTGTGAGTTTGGGTGGTTTTTTGTTTTGTCTTGTTTTTATCGAATAAGAAATCTCTTTACTGCCTAGTAAAACACATCCTGTAACAACCAGAAATGCAATGAAAAGCAAATACCAGTCTCATTTTATAAACATAGTGACAACCTCACAGGACTTGTGCTTCTAAAATAATTTCAACTCACATAGAAAGTTCTGAAGTTAAAAAGCATTACCCAGTCACGGCTGCTTAAAGTCAGTTATGTATTTCCTAGAGATTTTGTCATAAGGAAAACAATAAAATTCTCATTTGGGAAAAAAGCTAGTAGAGGGTAGAGGTTATTGTGTGGTGGAAGTGTTAAGGATCGGCCTCATTTTCCCAGCCACAGGAAGTTACGAGGATGTTTCCGTTTCAGGTTTCAGGGTCTGTCATTACGGCCAGACGCTTGGGGGGTAAAGTCACTGGTACTGCAGCATTGAGTGGCTGGAGAGACCTTGTCTCCCAGCTGCCTTTTGGCAGCTGAACCCTAAAAATGGAAACATTCTGGGCCTTATCACAGCAGTGTGACAAGAAGGAGACAGATGTGAAAGTACAACACGCTCACCACTCTTTTCTTTGAGGGAAATGATGGAAGGACCTTGTCCTGGTGGAGTACAGTCTGATGGATGCACACCTGCTCACAGACATACACCTGCTCACACACCTGCTCATACTCCTGCTCACAGACACAGTCGTATTCACAGTATTCACACCTGTTCACAGGGTACACAGCTGTTCACAGACATACAACTGCTCACAGGATACACACCTGTACATACAGAATGCACACCTACTCAAAGACACAACTACCTACTCACAGACACACACTGCTTACAGGATACACACTTGCCCACAGATGTACACCTATTCAGATACACACCTGTCCACAGGATACATACCCACCCACGAAACAAAACCTGCTCACAGGTACACACCTGTGCACCAATATATACCTGCCTGTAGGGTACACTCCTGTTCATTCCTGATGCACAGCTGCCCACTGATACCTAACCAGCCACACACTGCACACCTGCTCACGGGACACACACCTTTGGATAGGTATTTCCTTCTTTTCTGAATGACCCACTGCATGGGCTCACAGTTAGTTCTGCGTATTCAGGAGGTCACTGGTGGGTATGTTCTGTGGATATGGAGCCTGTCATTGTGGGCTAAGGATGGGAGACCAAGGGATCCAAGACAACACAGTAATTATGCAAGTCCTATCATTGCTTCCAAGGAGCTCTGGTAGCGTAGTGGTTATGAATCGTGCTGTGAACCGCAAGGTCAGCAGTTCGAAACTACCAGCTGCTCCGTGGGAGAAGGCTTTCTGCTCCCGTAAAGATTTACAGCCTCGGAAACCCTGTTCAGGGACGCTATGAGTCGGAACCGACTCCACAGCACTTAACAACAACAACAACAACATTCTGCAGCATCCTGATGTGGCATTGCAGGATAATGCACTGGGCTGCAAAGTCAGCAGTTCAAACCCACCAACCGCCCTTCAGAAACCCTACACAGGGTTGCTATGTGTTGGAATCGACTCAACAGCACTTAACAACAACAAACTCAAAATGAAGTCGTGATGTAACCCTGCGGGATTATGCTTTGAGCAGAAATGTCGGTGGTTCAAACTTACCAGCCGCTTTTCAGAAACCCTGTATAGGGTCCCTGTAAGTTGGAACCAACTCAACAGCAACAACAAAGCTCCAAATGGGAGTGTGGTGCCTCTAAACAATAAACACAGGACTGAGAACCACAAGGTCCACAGTTCGAGCCCACCAGTTGCTCCATGGGAGAAAGATGAGGCTCTCTGCTCCTGCAAAGATTGGAAGCCTCAGAAACCCTAAACAGGGTCGCTATGAATCGGAACCCACTCAACAGCGCTTAAATAACAACAATAACAATTTCACAACTGGAGGCAAAGCTGTCAGCTGCTAACCAAAGGCAGACAATGGGAGCCCACCAGCCACGCTGCTCTGCAGGTGAAGGACCGAGCACTCTCCCCTCGTAAGACGACAGCCTAGGAAAGTCTCTGCGTAGTATACTATCACCTGTGGTCTTTATGAGTCAGAATCCACTGGATGGCAACACCAACAAATCCCAAGATACTCCAGTTGCAAACAGAATCTCTTGTCATTCAAGCTTCAGTACAAGCACTTGAACTCCCCCATTTAGAACATTCCAGAATCAGAACCTCCAACAACAGGTCACCTCTCCGACCGCCAAAGCAGGGCTGAGCAGTACAAGGGTCTGATATTAAAAAAAGAAAGAAGCCACATCAAGTCAATTCTAACTCATAGCGACCCTATGTAGGCTTTCCAAGACTGTAAATCTTTGTGGAGGAGACAACATCTTCTATCTCCCGCAGAGAACTGCTAATCACCTAACTCACAGCACCGTTAGGGCTCCTTGTCCTGGCCACATGGAACCACACACTCAAGACCAGGCACATGAGCACCTGGGTTTGGGTGGCAGGAGGGTGGCAGCCTAGTCCAGTCAGCAAACCACCTTTGAATCCCACAGGCCTAGGAAAAATGGATGTGATCCTGTCAGTGTAGGTCAGAGATCTGAAGTTCAAAGGCGTTGTGTGCCTGCCAACAGTCTACAAGTGAGCCACCATGGAACCCAGATCCCAAAGCGACCATTCCAGACCCCAAAACCCAGGAATACCTGTGTGCCTCCTGCCCTTTGCTGACACAACACAGAAATCCAGGGCTCAGGATGTGGGGTTGAGGGTCCTGGTAAAACAGGCCACACTACATCCCAGAACACGGAGCTCTAAGTGAAGGTTCTGGCTGTCCCTGGGGGAATGATATGGCTGTCAGCTGATCCCTCAGATAAACTGCACTGGGGTCTGGGAGGTCCCACCACATAAGGTCATCTTAGAAGTAGCAGGACACAAGATACAGTTTAAGAATGCTCTCGGTCCTATGTCCGACGATCAAGGGACGGAGGGGAATTGATACCCAGAAGCTCTACTACTGAAACTGTCCATTTACTCTTCTGCCCGCCATCCCCATGTGACTTTCAGTGTTTCATGGGGAAAAGCACGGAAATCACGG